CAAAAGGACACAGATAAAAAAACACAGATACATACTAACAGACACACATACTGAAACAGACATACACGCATATAGGCATACATACTGACACACATATACAGACAGACACATACATACATACATACATACACACTGACATACATACAGACACCAACATACATACATACACACACACAGACATACATTCATAATGACATATATACATACAGACAGACATACATAGATTCATACAGACTGACATACATGCATACAGACACTGACATCCATACATACACAGAAATACATTCATAATGGCATACATGCATATATACAGACATATTGACAGACATACATACTGACATACATGCATACTGACATCCATACACACATACGTTCATAATGACATGCAGACATACATTCATACTGACATACATACATACATTGATACTGGCATACATACAGACATACTGGCATACATACAGCGCTGACCGGGCCCCTGAAGATATAGGGCCCATCGGGTGGCCCTAAGGCCCCCCCCCAGTGCAGCCGGGCCTGTGACAACCATTATGGTTGTCACCAAATCATGGCGGCCCTGGTTAGGATAGCCTTATGCTTATCCCACGCATGCTTAAACTCCTTTACTGTGTTAACCTCTACCACTTCAGCTGGAAGGCTATTGCATGCTTCCACTACCCTCTCAGTAAAATAATACTTCCTGATATTATTTTAAAACCTTTGCCCCTCTAATTCAAAACTATGTCCTCTTGTTGTGGTAGTTTTTCTTCTTTTTAATATAGTCTCCTCCTTTACTGTGCTGATTCCCTTTATATGTTTAAATGTTTCTATCATATCCCCCCGTCTTTCCTCCACGCTAGACATGTTAAGTTCCTTTAACCTTTCCTTGAAATGCACTAAAAAGAGGCCAGCTCCAGCATGGAGTGTTCCTTTAATAAACTGTTAGTGACCAGGAGATTCAGTACTCCTTGAGCATTGGCTATATAAAGGCTTAGGACCATGGAATGGGGCATCCTTGATTCAGTGTTATTGGAGTGGCATACACGGGTTTTGGGCCAGGGGATATGAGACAAAAGTGAGAATTCAAAGTGATTTTCAAAGTTAAAGCCAACTGAGAGCATAGCTAAAATTTCCAGTTCAGTAATTTTGATCTTAAATTTGAAATTCACTTTGAAGTCTGGCTTTAGTGAATAACCATGATATTGATGAATGTAGGGAAGGACAATTAGATTGCGTTCATGCAATCTCATTCCATCCTTGTCAACACAAACTAAACAACATATGGTAGCAAGAAAACTTATTGTATCCTGTACCTCTTAATGCCTTTTCTATTTTGACTTTTTCTTTGAGCTGTTCTGGAATCTGCATTTCAGTGTTTTTTAGTTATATTCTGTCACGTGAACCACCAATTGAGTTTCTTTTTTTTCAGTAGGAAATCATTGGATTGGCTAAGATTGTCAATTCTGATGATCTCAGCCAAGGAGGCAGGGCAAGGCCAAATGCCACCATAGCTAATCAGCATCTCCTCATAGAGATGCATTGAATCACTGTGCAGCACTGACCCAGGAAGCACCTCTAGTGGCCGTCTGAGTGACTGCCACTAGAGTTGTTCCTAGGCAGTAATGTAAACACTGCCTTTTCTCTGAAAATACAGTGTTTACATTAAAGTATCTGCAGGGACATCAAGCGGTAGTTGTTCTGGTGACTTTAGTGTCCCTTTAAATTCAGGGAAATTAATGTTTTAAGTAAGAAGATTAAAAGCATACTTGCAAAAAACAAGTCTAACACCAATCCCCTTACCCTAATTAAAAGTATTGACCCAACGATGGAAAAAGAAACCTTAACTATAAATACAAAACTGTATTAAATCCCTATTAGGATAAAAAAAAGAGACAAAAATAATAAATAACAGTGTCAAAAGTGTAGTGAAGGAGCAAATAAGAAACAAAAATGAATAAAATAGGACAAACAAATAGAGCTTTTTAAAGTATCAGTAAGTTCTCCCACTTTAGAATATAGACATAATAGAAGGATTAAATACTATGTTGCAAAAGTTGCAGTGATTACAAGTAGAGATGCCAAGCTAGGTTTACAAGTTGGGATAGTCTGAAAATGCAGTATAAGTTATACAGAGTAGTCAGGAAGTCACTTATAGATAAAAATAATACTAGTGTTACTGACTAGAAGTCACCTTAAAATGAAAGGGTTAATTAATTCCCTGATGATAAGGTTGAAAGAATATATGGGGAAATCCAAGGCAGTAAACCCCAAATTGACAATAATGGCAACAGGAAAACTAGCAGTGGAAGTGAAATTACCCCTATTCCTATATCCCAAATGGTCAGATACACAGAATTAATAAGAATAGCAGTAAAGTGTGCAGACCCTGAAAAAGTCCACTCAGTAGCTCAAGAAAAAACAGAGTGCTGTATAAAATATGGCACTTGGTTATGAGAAGCAGTGATAGACAATTAGAGTTAGATGTTAAACAAATCTATCTATTACGCTCAGACGGATACGAGGTGCTCTATAAATTATAGCACTTGTTTGTAAGAAGCAGTAATCGATAAGTGAAAATAGGAGTTAGATAACAGGATAGTCTAACTATTACTTACTGCTGCAAAGCAGCCCCTCGGCTAACGAAAAGGGAGCCAATAGATTTGCTAGCTACTGCTTCGAGGGAACCCCTAATCTTGCTAGCTGGAACCATCACTCATAGATATTGTCTAGATGTAACTGCATAGAGCCAACTGAAAGTACAGTGCTCAGCGCAAAATATAGAAGCAGTATTTAATAATCTAGCTCCCAGGGTTCACACCACCCAATGTGTAGAAAAAATGAGTATAGATATACCTAAGAATGAATACAGTGATATTACTTCTTCCTGGAATAATAAACAGAAACAACACTCATAGAGTGTTGGTCACTTAGTGTATTCTTAAGGTATTCGACTCAACTTCTTGGTTTAAAATATATTTATTATAACAAAATAAAATAAAATTGTACATGCAATAAGTTTATATTGTATGTACAATTCTATTTTAGTTTATTATAATAAATATATTTTAAACCAAGAAGCTGATGCTCTCCATCAAATTCCATGAAGGCCTGGTATTCCTGCAATGGGACCTGCATTATTTGATTATGCCTTATTACCTGTGCTAGTTTGTTAACAGGCTCATTAAAATGTGAGTTGAATACCTTAAGAATACACTAGGTGACCAAAACCTGGGATATTACTATACTACTCCATGAGAGTGTTGTTTCTGTTTATTATTCCAGTAAGAAGCAATATCATTGTATTCATTCTTAGGTATATCTATACTCACTTTTTCTACACATTGGGTGGTGTGAACCCTGGGAGCTAGATTATTAAATACTGCTTCTATATTTTGTGCTGAGCACTGTACTTTTTATTGTATAATTTTGTCTGTGGTGGAATTTGGAGTG